CCAGTTACTCAGGAGGCTGAGGCATAAGAATTGCTCGAACTGATGAGGTGGAGGTTACAGTGAGCTGGTATCATGCCACCACTATTGCCCTCCAGCCTGGGTGATACAGCAAGACTCTGTTTCAAAAAAAAAGCACAGATAAGCAAGTGAGTGAAGAAACATAAAGCCAGGTGAGGAGGCAGAAGAAAGGGAGGGCTGAAGGGTGAAGGCTTCCTCAGGGAAAGATGTTCCCGGCAGAAGGAACAGCAGGTACAGAGGCCTGGAGGCACGAGCCACATTGGGAAGCATGTCAGTGGGATGGGAGCTGAGTGATGGGGAGAGCCTGCTAGAGAAGAGATGGCGGTGGTGTCAGATCTGGTAGGGTCTTGAAGGCCATGGTAATAATTTTGGTTTTAGGTCAGGCACGGTGGCTCACACTTATAATCCCAGAACTTTGGGAAACCAAGGTGGGTAGATCACCTGAGGTCAGGAGTCCGAGACCAGCCTGGCCAACATGGTGAAACCCTATCTCTACTCAAAATACTAAATTAGCTGGGCATGGTGGCGCATGCCTGTAATCCCAGCTATCCGGGAGTCTGAGGCAGGAGAATTGCTTGAACCTTGGAGGCGGAGGTTGCCGTGAGCTGAGATTGCGCCACTACACTCCAGCCTGGCTGACAGAGGGAAGCTTCATCTATAATAATAATAACTTTGGTTTTAGATGCAAAATTATCAAAAGGCTTTGAACAAAGGAAACATGTCTGGGACTTAGGTTAACGAAAAGGTTCACTATGCTGCTTGGCTAATATCCTGGAGAGAGTGGAGCTAGTGGGGGCAGAGGCACCAGGCAGGGGCCTGCAGTGGTGCTAGTGAGAGGTGGTCCCATCCTGGATCGATTTAAAGGCAGAGGCCAGGCGCTGTGGCTCACACCTGGAATCCCAGTACTTTGGGAGGCTGAGACAGGTGGATCACTTGAGGCCAGGAGTTTGAGACCAGACTGGCAAACATGGTGAAACCCCATCTCCACTAAAATTACAAAAGTTAGCCAGGAATTTTGGCACATGCCTGTAATCCCATCTATGTCAGGAGGCTGAGGCATAAGAATTGCTTGAACTGGGGAAGCAGAGGTTGCAGGAAGCTGAGGTCATGTCACTACTGCACTCCAGCTTTGGGCAACAGAGCAAGACTCTGTCTCAAAGGAAAAAAAAGGTAGAGCTGCCTGGATTTGGAGATGGATGGTAGGGGCGTTAGGAGAGGAATAGAGGCACGACTGCAAGGCCCAAGAAGCTGGAGCCATGGTGACTAGGACGGGAAGACCCAGGAAGGAGGGCACCTGGGACAGAGCCCTGCCTGAGTGGGCAGTTGGTTACACACCTCTGGACTCAAAGAGAGGATCAGCCAAGGGATTATAAGTTGTGAATAACCGATGTATAGATGGCATCAGAGCCACAAGACTGGGTAGGATTACCTAAGAAATTACTCCAAAGACCTCCTTTTAAAACGACATATGGTGTGTCTGTTACCATGTGTCAGGCACTGTGCTGAGTCCTTGACAGCTATTAACTCATTTAATCTTCCTGACAACCCTATGAGGCAGCTCTGTTATTATCCCCATTTTAAAGATGAGAACACTGAGGTACAGATTTTTTTAAAGTACCTTGTACAAAGTTAGTGAAAGAGAGAAGAGGAGAGGTGTGAAGAGTGAAAAGGAGGGGCTGGGCCGGCGCAGCAGCTCACACCTGTATGTAATCCCAGCACTTTGGGAGGTTGAGGTGGGAGGACCACTTGAGCCTAGGAGTCTGAGACCCACCTGGGCAACACAGAGAGACGCCCATCTCTACCAAAAAAAAAAAATTAGCTGGTTGTGGTGGTGGCAGGCACCTGTGGTCCCACCAACGTGGGAGACAGAGGCGGGAAAATTGCTGAGCCCAGGTTGAAGCTGCAGTGAGCCGTGATTGTGCCACTGACTGCAGCCTGGGCGACAGAGTGAGACTGTCTCAAAACGAACAAAATCCAAACAAACCAAAAAAGAAAAGGAGAGGTTCCAAGTGTGATCTCTGGGTTCTCCAGGGCTGGAGTTCAGGGAGCTAAAGAAGAACCAGCCAGGGCACTAAGGGCAACAGCAGGACCACTGAGCGGGTCCCAGGGAGATGTGGGCTCCCAGAAGCCAAGCCAAGCAAGAGTCCCAAAAAGGAGGGCAGTTGGACCATGCAGACGGCGCTGATGAGAGACTGGCTGAGAGGTGGGTACTCGCCGCCGGGCTGAAAACGGTGACATTTTCCTTCCCCTAGCCTCATTCTGAGTGAACTTCCTTCCATTTTGACTGTAGGCAACAAACCACAGTAGTATCCTCAAGGCCTGTGATTCTGTCACCCATAGAAACAACAGAGGTTTTCACCATGTCACAGCTGTTACAGAGATCGTGTCACTTACGCTTATCTGTCATGTGTAAAAACGAAGCACCTATGCCATGAAAGCTCACACTGAAAGCTCACGCTGAAATACTGATCGCTGGATTTCAGTATAATTGTTTTCCCCATGACATCCTATATGTCTTATTTTATGCATTTAACATATTACTCAGAGAAGGAGTCATGGCACAAGAAGAAGTTAAAGATCCATGTAAGCTCAATATTAACCACAAAAGAGCAACCAAATGCCAACACAGCTAGAGTCGTAGTGATTCTAACCTAGGGGACTAGTTCGGTGCTCCGTCTGGTATTCTGTCAATTAAGGACCACAGCCATTTCGTGGCGACTGCGATGGGGTAGGTGACTCCCTATCCCAGCTCACACTCACAGTGTACAAAGCTGCAAAGGAAGCTGACTGCAGTGCGTTCCTGCAGCTGTCAGATGTGCAGAGCCAAGGGCCCGGGGGCGCTCGCTACTTCTCTCTGCAGAGGTTTGGCTGAAAGCAACTCTGCTGCCTACTTGTCTGCTTTCCTCTTCCTTCCTCTGCCCGTTGGCTGCTGCTGTGTGCCAGGCTGAATTGTGGCCACAGCTATGCTTTTCCTTGATTTTGGAAATAACCAAACGGGCCCTCCTGACAGCTGCATTGAACAAAATGGAGAAATTAAAAGCAAAATCACTACTTGTAAAAAATCAGCAAGAGACTCCAGCCCAGAACCCAAAACCCTGTAGCTTTTCCCCACAGCACACAGTTTCCACACCGGTCAAATGTGGGCTCTAGCAAGCTCTCCTTCTTAGGAGCGTTAGGAAGATTCGGTAAGTTAGTCACTATAAACGACTTAGAACAGTGGTCGACTGTGATCAACACAACCTATACTGTTAAATAAAGACAACTCACCTTGCTTTTTCCTCTTTCTTTTCTGTTAAAAAAATCCAAGTAAAATGCCTCTGCAAATTTATAAATTCATGAATTACGCAACATAGCATTCAAAGTGACATTCATCTGGGGAAAAAGGCTACGTGAACTGCTTATAGTTATTATTACATCTGAAAAGGAAAAGATGGAAGGAAGTACTAAAGATTAAGCAAGCTCCCGGCTCTCACTCTAATCTCCACGGAGTCAGGAAACAAGGTCTCGATGGCCCCTCACGTGTTTGGACAGTCCTTCTCACGCCCCTAAAATCCCCCATGCTTATACGCAGGGGAGAGGTTTCCGCTACTCTATGTCTGTGTGTCTGTCATCTGCAGAGCTTGGGGTTGATCTCACAGAGCTGCCTTCCTTGGCTATGGGAGAAGTCAGTGCCACCAAAGCTCACGTTATGCTATTGTAATCAACCTAGACTCCCAATTAAATTTTAGCTCAACAAGGCACGGGATACAGAAAAATCCCCTGGCTAAAGATCCACGATGTTTGAAACTGCTCTGGAGATGAGGCAGAGAGTCACTACCTGAAAATTGTTGTGCATTTGTCTAGTTTATGGGGAAAAAGATAACGAATTGAAGACTTTCACGTGAAAGTCAAGAGGAATCATAGAATGCTGGGTGCGCTGCCAGGGGCACGGGGACCCTCTGGTTCACCTCCATCGTTTCGTAGAGAAGGAAAGGGAAGGGAAGGCACAGAGATTTAGGGGGAGTGCCGTTCCCCGAAAGACATCGGGTGTCAAAGTACCACCTTCCAGCTGCAAAGTGCCTCGCTGGGATGGTGCTCTCACCCCTCAGCGTATGGCGGGGAACTAGTCGGGCTGGTTTGAAACTTGCCTGGACAACCAGAACCGTCTGGCTGGCCTGCCTGCTGCATGACTTGCAAGCAAAATCCACTTCATAAATCTCAGCCTCACACGGCTCCAGGCAGCCTCAGCCCCACTTTCTGGGAGAAAGGGGAAGCTGATAATGAATCTGGCCTCCAAGGCACCAAGCGTCTGTGTTTTTGTAGCTATTATATTGTTATCTTGTTAGCATCAAAGTTGGAAGAGGTCATCTCCAACTTCTCACTACCACCCCGACCCCCTGAACTTTGCACCCCCTTTCTCCAGATACAGACCAGTCCCTTGCCACCTATTCAGACAGCGTGCTGTACGGGCACAGGTATCGGCTTCAACAGCACAGCACGCGTCTCCCGTTCGTCTCTAATTCACAACTGCAGCCAGTTTCCAGTCACAGCTCGGCTTTTCAGGTTAATGGTTTTGGAGACTGCTGGGGTTTTTTCTGACCTGAGAATGCAAAATGAGTCCATCCTCTTTAGCTGCTCCCCTGTAAGCCTTCTGGAGACTCACACGGCTACACTGAATTCTACTTTGCACACGCTGGATCCCGCTGCGTTACTGTTTCCATCATTGGGAGTAGGTGGATATGGCACAATTTTAGGTTTCCGGGTTCTGGTGCCAGGAGGAATCGAGAGAGTATAAAGTTCAAGTGCCTTCAAAGTCATTAAAATAAACAAGCCGACAACTAGCTCCTAGGCCACTCCCACCCCCTACAGAGGATCCGTCTAGAGCTGCCACCACACTCCCAGCTGCTGCACTTCTGAGGAGTGACTCCAAGTCAGCCCTTGGCACTGCCAGGGTTCACTCAATCCATCTCGAACACCCATCACCTAACCGTGTCTCTGGTCACCTGTGGGTTTCAGCGGGTTCCAGGCCATTTTCCAGGCTGACATCTGTCCGCACCATCTCCTGTTTCAGTTCTCCGATCTCCGAGGCAATTGTGTCAATGAGCTATTCAAAGACAAAAACAGTATGACGTCAGGAAGCGGAGAGGCGTGGCATGCCCACAGCGCCTGGGGAGCTCAGGCTCTTCAATAGGAACACAGATGATCATCTTTTTCTTTTCTTTTTTTTTTTTTTTTTTTAAATCTTGGCTTTGTGAATTTCCTCTAGCCAAAGGAAAAAATAAAGGGGGAGGGAGTAGCTTCTCTTCAGAAAGGGGAAGAACTTAGGTTTCGGTATTGTAATAAGGAAAAGAATATGACACACAGTTTGTTAGGTTTCAGTAAAGTAAAAAGGAATATAATATAATACCGGGTTAGTTTCTCAACATGAATATAGACGGGAATAAATACATCCTGACAAAACAGGACCTCAGTATTCATTTGGCAAGGAAACCCTCCAAGGGAACCCCCTTTTAAGGATTGAAATTCATACAATTATTATTTTGGTTACAGAAATGAGCTTATTTAAAAGACATAACCAGCTTACACATTGATTTCTGAAGACATCAAAATGATTTTTTGTTCTATTTTTTGCACTGCTGTGGAGAGAAGATTGTTGGGGAAAGAGAAGAGAAAGGACTGAGTGAGGCTGGGGGTTAGTGGGCAGGAGGGAAAGTGGGCCCCAGGGCCATCTAGGGGGAAAGGCAGCCCCATCTCAGATCCCCCCTACCCCTGCTGACTAATGCACCTGCATCTGACCCTTAAGGCCAGTCTAAAATCTTGCGCCCTCCTATTTGCTCATTCAACAGAATTTTTCTGGCGCATACTAGGCACTGTAAGTGTAGAGTGGCACTTTGGGAGGCCAAGGCAGGCGGATCACTTGAGGTCATGAGTTCGAGACCAGCCTGGCCAACATGGCGAAACCCTATCTCTACAAAATACAAAAAAATTAGCTGGGCATGGTGGTGTGCGCTTGTAGTCCCAGCTACTCTGGAGTCTGAGGCAGGAGAATCACTTGAACCCAGGAGGCAGAGGTTGCCGTGAGCTGAGACCACACCACTGTACCCCAGCCTGGGAAACAGAGTGACACTCCATCTCAAAAAAATAAATATAATAATAATTTTTAAGAGCATCAAGGGATCCTGAGGCTAAGAAGTTTGAGAAACATGGTTCTCACTAAAGAGAAATGTCTTATCTTTTTTTTTAAGACAGGGTTTCATCATGTTGGTCAGGCTGGTCTTGAACTCCTGGCCTCAGGTGATCCGCCCCTCTTGGCCTCCAAAGTGCCCTGCCATTGTCTTATCTTAAGTAACTTTTATCCCACCCAGAATCTGGGAGGGAAGCTTCATTTGCACTTAAAGCTTATTCTAAAATGTGACCTCACCTATTCACCCTTTATTTTGACAAACTTTTTTGGGCTCCCGCTTCGTGCCAGGCACTACAAATGGGGAGTAAGGCTGAGAAGATCTCAGTTCTTGCGGAGATGAGATTCTGGTGGGGCAGAAAGACCCCAGAACCAAGCACTGAGCGGTTCCGGAATGAAGACAGATGAAGGTAATGCTGCGGGAGCGACGAAGGGGCCACACAGACCAGGGCGGGTGGGTCAGCGCAGGTCTTTTTGTCACTGACAGAGCCTTGAATGACAAGAATGCCATCAAAAGATCAAAGGAAGAGCCCTCCACATGGAAAGAAAGTTCTGAAGGCCAGGAAGGTGTGCAGAAGGAGAAGCAGGCAGGGACCAGGTCTTGCCAACTTTGCAGCTGTTGGTATTCCCCAACTTGAGTGTCCCGTGATAAGAGCCTTTGGAAGGCCTTACCTAGGGTAATGGCATTTTACTTCTGTTTTATGGTCTAAACAGATCCCTTTGGCACTGAGGTGGTTGGAAAGGGTGAGATGAGAAACAGGAAGACCAGTTAGGAGCAACTATAGTGGTCTAGGCAAGAGATGATGTAGCCAGGACCAAGGTGGTAGGGGTGGAAATAGAAAGAATCGAGGGAATTTCGGTACAATTTGACATAGAAATTGATATCACTTGATGGATTGAATATGGGGGCGGTGGAAAGAGAATAATCAGGGATGGCTCCCAAGTGTTTGGCTTGAGCAATTAATAAATGGCATTGCCCCTGACTGAGATGGGACAAATGGGGAGGAATTAGACCTGAGGGGGAAACCACGTTGAACATTGGGCAGATTAAATGATATTTCAGTTGCTTATCAGCCATCAAATAAATCTGTGAAGTAGCTTCTGACATTCTGGATGGAGACTTTTCTACATCTAGAAGTCACTGGCATGTGTGGTTGGCATTCTACAGCATGGTGGCAGGGAGAGATTACCTAAGGAGAGAGGTCAATGCAGAATGAGGCCCAGCAGATAGCTCTGGACACTCCCATGACTTAGAGGCCAGAAGAACGGAAGACAGCCAAGCTCTTTATGCTTGATCAGTACCTGTGACTGCAGTAAGGATGGCAGGGGGAGCTTCCAGAAGCACTGGGGCCTTGAGAGAGAAAATGATTAGGAGATCCTGTTTTATACACATCTCTGAGGCAAAGTTTTTAAAAAAATCTGACAATGCCAAATATTCTAGGATGTGGGAAACGGGATGCGCCTTGTATTACTATGTTTTATGTTGCTATAACAGAATACTACAGACTGGGTAATTTACTGAGGACAGAATTTTATTTGGCTCATGGTTCTGGAAGCTGGGAAGTCCAAGAACATGACTCTAGCATCTGGTAAGGGTCATCCCATGGTGGAAGGCAGAAGTGAGCAGAGACAGGAAGAGGAAATCAGCCACGCTCATTCCTTTTGTCAGGAAACCATGCCCTCGAAAACTAACCCATTACCAAGATAATGGCATTAATTCATTTGTGAGGGCAGAGCCCTCATGACTTAATAATCTCTTAAAGGCCTCACCTTTTAATACCATTACAATGGCAGTTAAATTTCAACCTGAGTTTCAGAGGGGACTTCAAACCATGGTACCTCTTACACTGCTGGAGGAATATTCCCCAGAGCCACTTCGGAAAGCAATTTGGCAACGTCCTGCAGGGTTAAAGATACACAAACCTGTATGTGTACTCTAGAGACTAAACTTGCACGTGGGCACAAAAGTGCTTTTGCAAGAATATTTGTTGCACCATTATTCATGAGAGCATGTAAGTGTCCATTAACCGGAGAATGGATAAATTAGTTGGGGTATAAAATGCTACACGCAAATCTTCCCAACACAAAGAAAAAGATACATAAATGGATATCCCAGTTACTCTGATTTGATCATTACATATTGCATACATATATCAAAATATTCTGTACACCTCAGAATATGTACAACTATGACAACAAATTAACAAATAAAAATGTACCTCAATGATATTTATATTGATAACGTGCTGAAAGGATACTATTTGGTCTATGTTAGGTCTAAAAATATATTATTAGGCCAGGTTGGGTAGCTCATGCTTGTAATCCCAGCATTTTGGGAGGCCAAGGTGGCAGAATTGCTTGAGACCAGGGGCCTGGACAGCCAGGACAGCACAGTGAGATCCTGTCTCTATCCAAAAAAAATTTTTTTAATAAAATACTGTTACATGTTAGATTATTAAAACTTTAAAAGCATGCAAAACTGTGCTATATGTTTATGGACACACACATAGAAACAAAGGCTATTAAGGGGTTATAATCCTAACCCAGGGTAGTTGTTACAACTCTAGGCAGGAGAAATGGACGAAAGTGTTCACAGGTCAAGGGGCTCAGCCACATGTGAGATTTTATTTATGTATTTATTTTGTAGAGGCGGTTTCTCACTGTGTTGAGCAGGCTGGTCTTGAACTTCTGACCTCAAGCAATCCTCCCACCTTGGTCTCCCAAAGCTCTGGGACTTTAGGCAGATGCCACTGTGCCTGGCAAGATTTTATCTCTTAAAATGAGACAGTGCTGAGTGATGGGTATTTTAGTATCTTGTGTGATTTTCTGAAGGCTTAAAGTACTTTGTAATCAAAATTTTAAGAAAACAAGAAAAAGAAAGGGTGGTGTGTTTGAAAATGGAGAAAGTGAAAGGACTGAAAAGGTGGAAACAAAGAAGGGGTTCAGGGGAGTTTGGGCTTCTCTGCTGAAGCCCCACCAGCCTACGACTAGGCCCTGTCTCATTCTGGACCATGGCTGTGGCCCCAGACAGGAGAGCCGCACACCCCCCAGAAGCAGTGGCCCTGTGAGGGAGGGCCAGCCACAGCCTCTGGCAACCTCAAAGAGAGGACTCCCACCCCAGCAGGAAGCCCCGTCACTGGGCACATCTCCCTCTCCACACTTGGGTCACCTTCACAACCACCATATTGATTCGAACATTAACAACCGCAAATGGCCTTGATTCCCATTGGAATGGGCACCAGTTGATTCCCTTCAGCCAGGCTGTTTTCATCTGGGTACTACTGCTCTTGCTGCTGCTGTTGGCTGCATCTCCAGACCTCCAAGCCTCCTCGCTTCCTTCTCTACATCTGCCCAAACACAAGAAGCTAAGCTCTGTGGCTGTCACTCAGCAGCACTCGCGTGCCAAGTCACCAGTCACGCCACACCACCTATCTCTAGTGCAGAGGAAGGCGCTGTGATCCCAAGGCACGAGTGTGGACAAGCACAGAGGTGGCACTTGGCTGGACTGCTGTGGACCCTTCTCTGCTGGATGTGGGGACATTTTCCAGTCCCCCATTTCCCCACCCCGCCCCCTGTCAGCTTTTCCCGCCCCTTCCATTCAGTCCTGACTCCCCCGTCCCACAGCACAGAGGAATTTAATCTCACAAATGGACCAGAGTTTAGTGTTTCAGGGCCAGTCCTGCCTCTCAGAATCATGTCTCTACATACACTGGGCCCTTCTCCGGCAGCCCTTAGCATCACAAAACACTCCCTCCTCTCTGAGGATTGGATTGTGTCCCACGGATGGGATTTTGGGTGTTGTTGGAAATTGTTTTTGGACAACTTTGTGTTGATATATTTGTTTGTTTCTAATTCTTACAGACTTTGGATTTTATCCTTTATACTTGGTTCTTCAAAATTTCCTTCTTCGAGGGCAGAGATAACTTGTTACCCAAAAAGGAGGCCAGTTTTAATGTCAGCTTTTCCATGTCAAAGCCAATAGCAGATGGTGCTACAGGCCAAGTGCAGTGGCTCATACCTGTAATCCCAGCACTTCGGGAGGCTGAAGCTGGGCTGTTCACTTGAGGTCAGGAGTTCGAGACCAGCCTGGCCAGCATGATAAAACTGCATCACTACTAAAAATACAAAAATGAGCTGGGCGTGGTGGCATGCATCTATAATACCAGTTACTTGGGAGGCTGAGGCAGGAGAATCACTTGAACCTGGGAGGCAGAGGTTGCAGTGACCTGAGGTTGCGCCACTGCACTCCAGCCTGGGTGACAGAGTGAGACTCTTTCTCAAAAATAAAAAAAAATACCAACCCACAAAAACACAAAACAACCACCAATAAAAACACAAAAAACTGGTGCTACTAAATGAAGTTTCTCCAGATCCACTTACACAACCCCAGCCTCCAACACATCCTTGTACCTGTGCAGAATTCCTGCACGCACGGGGAGGGGGTGCCTGAACACCTGCAAAGCTGGCGAGTGAGTGCTGCTCACTACAGCCCGGCTTGGCTGCCCAGGAAGTGTGTGGACACCTGGGAAAGTGGTGGGAGAGCCACGTGGCTGTGATTCCGTGTGACCAGAGGTTCAGACAGGACACCAGGTTGCCAAGGCACAAAGTTGGTGAGACAATGGTTCTTACATCAAACACCCAGCACAGCTGCATCAGTCCCAGAAAACCCCACAAGCAGCGACAAAGACCCCAACCCAAGGGACAGTTACCTATCCTTGTAGAGCACAGCAGACCTCAACTGATACAGCTGGTGCATTTCCTGTTTGTTTTTCCCTGCAGGCACGTACAGCAGGACAGAAGAGTGATGTGCTGCCTTTAGAAGCTGCGGTGGCTCAAGCCTGTAATCCCAGCACTGTGGGAGGCCGAGGCGGGTGGATCACAAGGCCAAGAGATCGAGACCATCCTGGTCAACATGGTGAAACCCCCTCTCTACTAAAAATACAAAAAATTAGCTGGGCATGGTGGCACATGCCTGTAATCTCCGCTACTCAGGAGGCTGGGGCAGGAGAATTGCCTGAACCCGGGAGGCGGAGGTTGCGGTGAGCCGAGATCGCGCCATTGCACTCCAGCCTGGGTAACAAGAGCGAAACTCCGTCTCAAAAAAAAAAAAAAAATAAAGAAGCTGGGAGACAGTGGGCTGCTGGCCTGGCTGGGGACTTCTGGGGAAGAAGAGGGGGTGCTGGTGACCACAAGAGGGAGAGGAAGGCAGGCCAGGGGTTGGGTCCACTCCCTTATCCTGCATTCGTGCATAACACACCTTGAGAAGCCGGAGATGTTCACCTGGGTGCTTCTGCATATGAGCTGGCATCCTGGCCGAGGGTGAGAGAATAACTAGAGAAGCCCAAGTTCCTTCCCAGCCCTTTGAGGTCACACCCAGGGCCGGGCCTGGGCAAGGCTGGGCCTGCTGAGT